GCCATCGGGCATACCGGGCATTTGCTCGGTGGCCCGATGATTTTTTTTCTTTTCTTGTAACGGTATAAACAATGAAAGGTGGTGGATTGGCCAGATGCTGGCCGGTGTGTAAAAATAACTCAGTTGTTTGGTGGTGGCTATGGCGGAGCTTCCACAGATTCAGTAACATTAACAAGCGGTGGAGGCCAACAGGTGGATGAGGGAAAGGGGAGGCAGGAGGAGGAGAGACCGGAGGCAGCCGCCGGTCCGAGTGTCAGGTGACCTGAACTTCAGGTAAGAAGTTATAACCTGCAATCTATCTGGGTCAGATATAAAACTAGTTTAGGTGGAGTTTATTTTCGTTGTGCTGACTTTTTACAGCCAGTTACAATAACTCGTACTGCGTACTAGCTAGCATGACAGAGTTTCTATACAGCTGGGTGGGTGCTATGATGTTTCTGATAGTGAACTTTATTTTATTCATAAGGTTAGTTAGTAGAGTTGCCAACCATCCCTTAAAAAGACGGAATCGTCCTGCATTCACAGAAATTATTACCCTTTTGGTGTTGAGCTGAGAAGGGAGCAGTTTGTCTAGGATGGAAAAGACACAAAGGTGGATTTATTCTGTCATTACGCTGCACAGCTGCCTCTTCTTCTCCTCTCATTCTCTCCTCTCTCTCTCCCGTTGCTACTTCAATCATGAAACTGATCAATAATCAGCTGATCGGCTTTTCTCTCTTGTTTGTTTATCGCCCACTTTGCGCCAGACAGAGGTCGCGCTAAACAACAGCAGTACGTTTAAGCTTGATCAGCTGTTGTTAGAATTTATTTAATATTAATTTCTAGTATCAGCTGATGTTTGCTGGAGCCACAGCTGTAAAGCTGCTGGTCATGATATGGTTTGTATATCTGGTGAGAGGGAAACATGAAGATGAAACCAGGAGATGTCCTTACTGAATCATCAGAGCTGAACAGGTGATGGAGAAACAGGTTTATCTTTTAGGTGACATGAATGAGTTGAAGGGAAGTTGTGAACTGTTTCTGAGAGACAAATAATACCAGGATCCTTTTTTATGTAGCTGACAGCTGGTAACTGTGCAGGGGCGGATCGAGCAAAGTTTTGCCAGGGGAGCCAGGTGGGGCATTAACAGCGAAAGGCGGCACAAAGAAATACGTTCTTATTTTCATTTAAAATGTCTGGCTGTTATTAAATAATTATCTGAAGCTTACAACCAAAGTTTTTATCTGATGTAAAATGTATAGAAATCATGCATATACCAACAAGACAGTGTACATCACTGTCACAACAGCGTTTGTTTTTTTTATTCAAAGGCTTTATGGCTTTAATACCTGGTGGGCCGGTCTTTAGTCAAAATGCCCGGGCTGTTTTTTTGTCCCAGTCCAGCCCTGGGCTCAACAGTGAATTAATCTGAGAAGGTGCATCAAAAAATTAATGGCCGCGCCAGCGGTGCACATTGCAAATTGGGACTTTCAGGTGTATGGACCAATGTTTTATTTTATGATCAAACCAGAAATCTTTAATGAGCAGCTGGATTTGTCTCACATTAACTGGCTGAGTTAATGCCAGTTAATGCAACATCGAAGCAGCTGGAATCCACAGCTGTGCGTGTTCATGGAGCTTGCATTTTCACCTGCTGGACATCACTACCTGACAAGTTTAACCGTCTTCAGAACATTGCAGAGGCCTTATTGACAGTATTTGGCTCTACATATCTGTGTGAGCAGATTTTCTCTCACATGAGTGTCCTCAGGTAGCCGTCTGAATGCTGGACACTCGGAGACCTGTGTCACAGAGTGGGAGACCAGAGATCACATTAACATGTGTATCTCTGTATTAACAAACATGCCATATTGTAATTTCTTTTTCTTATCATTGTTGTGAGGAGACCATAAATAGCATTTGTATTTTCTGTTGTACAGTTCATTTGCTGTTATGGATAAAAAGTGTCTTTTTTTGTTTCAAAATAGCTGATAACTATTCGCTGATAGCTGCCAACATCTGCAAACAAATATAATTCTTTAAAGTGGTTCTATATATTGTGTAACTGTTCATATAGAACGTTATTACATTTATTGCTAATGCAATCATATGGCACACTGACCTCTGAGGAAATTTTAAATGGCACTCGCCATCAGAAAGGTTGCCTACCCCTGGTTTAGTCTATTGAAGTAAGCATACTAACACACACTGATTTACAGACTCACTCAAAACACGAGGATGACTGTCAGGAAAAAAGCCATCTTATACATGTGAAACGCTTGAGTCAGAATACATCTGTGTTGGACGACCTTTTTACTGTACATTCTCACAGAAATCCACAAGCAATGCTTAAAGTAGTGGTCTTCAGTAAGTCTCTGTGATATAATTTTTTTTGTCAGCTTTTATAGTTTGCCATCCATATTTGCATATCAAGCATCTCAGGAAGTTTGACTGAGACTAAAAATAACACGGGATCAGCAAGAAGTGAAACTTCAGTGTTATTTACCTCCCACACAGAAGTTGGAAATTATCTCTTGAGAATGAGTGACATCATGTTTATAACATTTAAAACCAAAGGAATAAGGATATTTTGCAGTTGCTCACCAGTTACTATGACAATCCCAAGCATTTAAAGGAAAGACAGGCTTTTCTGCTTTGGATCTTAATGCTAGTAAAAGGACTTTATTGATGCATTGGTAATGACTTTTGAAATATTTATTAGAATTTAATAAAATGGCTTTCTAAATACAGACTGCTTATGGTTGAGATCGATCCAGCTGTATTTTGCGGGATGATTCAGCTCTGCTGTTTCTCTTCTGACGCAGTCTGTACATATCTTTGATTCACGGCCGGTGATATTTTTGACATTTGTGTCTCAAGAATTTCGAGTATTGTGGAAAAAGTCCCTTTCTGCTTCTCCATGAAACATGTCTTTGGATGGAAGCATGACATGCTCTAAAACCTCCTGGTTGAGCGGCTGTGTTGACTTTGGCCTGGATAAAACACAGTGGACCAACTGCCAGCAGACAGCATGGCCCTCAACATCATCAGACTGCAGAAACTTTACACTGGGTTTTAAAATACCCTGGATATTTACTCTAATCTTCCACTAAACTCCAGGACCTTGATTTCCAGATAAAGTGCAACATAGCATAGCATTGAATCCGCTGGCTGTCTGGCTTGGGATGTTCTGTGTGTACTAATAATAATTTGAGATACTGGATTTCTGATGGGCTATAATGAGTAATCATTTGAAATTTATATTTAAAAAATTACTGTTTTGAGATGCCCTATTGTGTTGGGTTATGTTGACTGCTTCAAGGGTTTCCTGAAGCAGAGGAAGCCCGAGGAAGGCATAATTTGTGTGAAATCTTTTCAAACTTTACTTGACACTGAAATAAATCCATATTTGGGGATTCTAATCCTCAATGTCAATAAGATGCAAACTGTTAGAATTAATTTAAATTCATTCACAAGACTCTTTTATCCAAGAAGCTTCTGCGGGAAAAGTTAGATTAGGAAAATTCAGCTCCTCCTCTTCTAATTATATCCTCTTCCATCATCTTTGGTAGGACTGCCATATCAGCATCTAATTCTGCAGTCTTTCCTGTCATTCAAACGTAAAGTTCACTCACTTCAGTCTTCACAAGTGTACAGAGGTCCTAATGGCACAGATTAAAAAGCAATTTAATACAGGAAAGGGGATTAGAAACACTATGGGCTGCACTTATCCTTAACCTTTAGTCCTGTTCTCATGGAGCCACAATATGTGCAAGATGATAGCATCACAGGCCCAGAGTTAGTAAATTTCCATTAGGGCTGCCCTTCTGTATTCCCACCAGCACATTTAAAGGCATTAGGCATGCTTTGTCAGGGCTGATAAAAAAGGGCCAGCAGTGCTATCGCACACCCCTGACTTGTTTCGGAAAAAGCACTGTTCCATGTGAAGTTTTCATAACCCATTATGATAATCGGCCCAAGTCTCTGAAGGGCAAGGGATAGACCGGCAGATAGATGCTTCTGGGGTGACTGCTCTATAGTCTCTGCATGGATTGAACATTTTCTGTCTGCGTTGCCGGGGCAGAAACTCATTCCTATCCACCAAGAACAGCAGAAGTGATATAGGACTCAGTAAAAGAGGAGGCACATCTCATAGCATCGGGTTAGAAGGTGATTTTAAAGCAAAAGAGAAAAAAATGAGTCCCCATCCCCCTTATAATAAAGAATATACTGTTTTCAGTGGTGAAAACTTAATATTTTCACAAGGATGCTTGTGTCATCCTTTGTTCTTCAGCTTTCCTGTAAGCTTGCTGTGCCTTCAACAGACATGAAACGCAATAAACACTTTATACTGTGTTGTTAAATTAGTGAGAAGCTGGGACGCCTGAATTAAGGAGATCCGTGTTATTTTTTTCTTCTTCTTCTTCTCCTCTTTTGGGCAGCTAGCTGCTCATCTCTGCAGGGGAAAATGTTTGTCTGACAGGAAAAAGGGCCATGCTGTGCATTAATCATTTATATCTAAATTTGTGCTGCGCAAAGATTCAATTTTCTGCACTTTGTAGGGTCCAATATTGGTTATATGGTTTTATTTATACATCAAAACCCCTTTCATCCATTATTAATTTATTTTTGAGCCATGCAGTTTGGATGGCATTTCTTGAAGGGGAGCTCTTTTTGTGGGAAAACCTCCACAAAAAGTTTGTTACTCAAGGAAAAACCCTCCATATGTGGGACTTTGAAACCAGAACTATTGCTATTTTGATTCATGCTGTACGCTTGGACACATGTCCTGCTAAGCACTAAATTTGTCTCCTTTTATAACCAATATTGTTTTGCAAGATCCTCTCGTCTCCGTGCCCTCTCCAGAGCTGCAGTGATGTAACTCCCACATCAATGCTCTATTTAAAGTCTAAACCTGTGCGTCTCTTCAACCTGCTGTCGGTTTTTACACCTTTAATTTTTTTTTTTTTTTATAAAGTTGTGGTAGTATTGTGCTAATTCCTTTGCTTCCTGTTCACAGGCCAATACTGAGCAGAAGAAGCTGAGCCATGCTGGATCCAAGCCCTCCCTCTCTGAGAGCTGTGGCCGACTCCCTCAGATAGCCATGAACACCTGCAAGTACAATGGCGGAGTGGTGAGACCACTAGTGGGCAGCCTGGCGTCCTCGTCGCGCCGCAACCTCGCGGAGCTCGACTCGGAGACGCAACCCTTGCAGACGTTGCACAGCTCTGGCCTGGAGGTGGTGGTGTCCAAGGGCAACGGCGGCGAAGACCCCAGCAAGGCATCCAACGAGAGCTTGGTCAGGGAGGGCAGTGGGCGGGGCAGTGGGCGGGCACCCCAGAAGAAGAACAGGGACATTGGCTACAAGCTCGGCCACCGGAGGGCGTTGTTTGAGAAGCGGAAACGGTTAAGCGATTACGCTCTAATCTTTGGGATGTTTGGGATTGTTGTCATGGTGACAGAGACGGAACTGTCATGGGGGGTTTACACTAAGGTAGGTTGTGCGTGTGTGTGTCTGTGTGTGTGATGCATGAGTGGGAGCCCTGTGTGTTGTCACTTCTATTGTTATGTTTGAGTTGTGTGGGGTTGGCAGCTGTCAGTTTCATGAAGAGTGATTATTAGCACAGACACTGACGTACAGTATGCAACAAAGCAACTGGGATTATTGCTCCAATAGAAGTAAAAAGAAGTGTCATGTGATCTGCACAATGACTAATAGACTATTTATTCTATTAAAAGATATTGTCTTTTTGGAACTTGTTTTGTCTTTTTGGGGGTTGTTTTTGCTGGTAGGTCTATTTTTGTCACTACTTAAAAGTTTTAGTTATTGGCATTATATTGGCACGTACCCAAAGGACTGATTCCATTGCTATTGCCTTTATTGGCAGAAGGAAACTGGGATAGTGGAGCAAAGCGGACAACAACATAAAGATTCATACAAAGAGAGATAAAGACACATAGAAACGAAGAGGTCGGCAAGTGAGAATAAAAGGTGGGAATGAAGTTCCAGGTTTTTCAAACTGCATCAGTTTGTAGGAGTGGCAATGACGCAGCACACTCTAGAGACAAGAGGGACTCTTGAGCGAGGACACTGGCGAGGCAGTGTGTTGTCAGGGTCACTGTGGTGACCAAGCTACCACCCCTTGGCCCGTCATTGTCCATCAGTGTCAAACAGTCAACCCTAGTGTGTCATATTTGGGGGAAGAATATCCTTCACTTAGTGCGGCACAAGTCCCACCACATTATTTATTAGACTGTTTACTGTGGAAATGACACTGCAGCAATATGATAGGTCACAGAGCTGTTTTCTTTCTTCTCTGAAGTCAGTAAAAACAAAGTAGGATAGAAGACCTAGTGTTTGAAAATTTAAGTGCATGGTCTGTTGACTGTTCTCAAGCCTTGAGTTTTGAGCTGTCACAAGCGAGGAATTAATCTGACTGAGAACCTGATGAATGGATGCCATAATACTAGTTTCATACTACCATGCGCCTAAACACAAAGCACTCTTCCTGACACAACCCCAAAGGGACAAAAAGCCCCCAGGTTTCTCCGACTGGAAGTGAGCTACTGACCTTTAGTATGCCAAGCAAATCTGTACACCACTACAGAGCCATCCCACTTATTTAAACTTCTTTATTTAAAAAACACAAAAAAAACACTTGAACATTACAACAGTGACATTTCTGTAAATAAAAGCAACAAAAGTACAGAGCAGAAAATCTTAACATTATGTTGCTGACAGGCACAGACTGAGATGTTAGGATGATTGCTGAGTGGCCTGCTAAAGTTTACTATGAGGTATAACGTTTATTACATGACATTAGCTTGAACATTCACATAACATTAGCAACTGCAAACATGTGTCACAGCTGATCTCCAGGATAACATAAAGAGAACGACCTTTTGGAGGTTGTTAATATAATCTAATACTTAACTGACTTGAATTCTTTGAAAAAAATGTGGATGTCAGTCTTTTAAGAGCTTCACTAAAGTGGAAAAGGCTCGTTTGCATGTTGCTTTTGTAAATCACTTAGCCTATCACCTCTCGGTCATTCTCCTCAAATGCAAAGTACTTCCATACCCGACTCATACTCTCTGTGAGATAGACAAGGACATTGGAAGCCCCCCTGTCAGTTCTATAAGAATTGCAGCTTTGGCATATATGTTGCCTACATTACTAAAACAAAACGAGCACTTTCGCAGTTTGCAGAATGTTGGTATTATCTGGTCACATAATCTGAGGATGCTGCATGCTCATATGATCGCACATCCTGCTTTATTGTCCTTTTTTTTTTTAATCCTCGTGTACAAAATGTTGATTTAAACTCTTAAGAAAGTGCTCAACAAAGTTCTAGTTCAAAATATTTTTTCTTGTACTTTTTTTTTTTTTTTTTTAAGTCAATTTGACTTCTTTCTACAAACAGTGGACTTGCCCCTTACTAGCCTTAGAAGTAATTCTGGTTTAAGGGGCTACTGCTTTTTCTTTGTTGATCTTTTACAGTCAGTCATAAATGAGCTTATAGTAAATAAACCACTTTCCGAACAAGACTTTTTTTCACTGTCAGCAGAAAGAGAGGAATGCAGCATGCATTTGTGAAAATTTTAAAGCTGAAAATGCATAATGAATCATTAATTATTCATATGATGTGCTTGTCTTAATGGGTATTTTTTACTTTATGTGTGCAGGATTGGAGTGTGCTAACTGTCATGGTAATCATTATGGGCAATTAGAAGTTTTTCAATATTTTGTGAACGACATACTGAAATTCTTTAAAAAGCATAATTTTTTTCCTTTAAAAAAGGGATAGATTTTGTTTTTGCCTGTTTGTGTCTGTGTGTGCATTTTAATTGTGTTCTTTCTTTCATATGTGTGTGAGGAAGGGTTTGTGTCTCTAAAATATAGTAAGTTGGTGGGGTAATCTATAGGATGATTTATGGGGTTTTAAGAAAGTCAATAGATTTGTCTGTGACTGTTACTGAGTTTTGTTCGGTCCATTCATCATACTGACCTCAGCTGAAATGGAAATGACCTAATGTCTCTGAGCAGCACCGCAGCCTTCCCACATCAGACAGGTAGCATGTGCTGTGGCTGGTCTATTTTTCCATCTCACGTCCCGTCATGGAGCAGACGCTCGCGGCTCAGCAAAGGTTTTCTGAGCCCTGAAGGAGGGAACATGTAAAGAGGCAGTGAGCACTGGGACTTAAAAATCCTTGAACCTCTGGCACGTGGATTAATTGGTTTACTCTGTATTATTTCATCAGGGACTTTCAAAACAATTTCAGACATTAGAATGTCTTGAGAACATGTCGCCAACCTGAGGGGCAAAGCAATCTAGTTGATGGCTAAAAATAATTCTGTAATATGGACCACCAAAGGACAACATATATTGAGAAGCAAGGACTGTCATCTCACTGGCAATTATGAATGATATTTCCACTTGGTTTTTTTAATCATTCGTCGTCAGTGTTGTTATTGTAATAACAACACTATGATCATTAGCCTGCTGCAGAGCAGCATTTTTACACCATGGTTGTTAAATTGATTTATCAGTTGGCATTTTACCGACATAGAGGGTTGGGGGAGGATTTGAGTAGCACAGGTTCTCATTTTCTAGATCTACGGCCCCCATGTACAAACGCGTACACACATACATACGCTTTCCTGCGTGAGCATCCAGCCGGCCTATTTATCAACAGCAGTGCTCATTGTGCTGGCCCCCCTGCTAATACCATCCTTGCCTTTTCTGCACCTACCATTAAGTGGAAAGTCCCCCTGTTAGTGCTGGGCTTTGATTAATTGGTAGTTTAGATGGTGGGAAATGGTGTCCATAGATAATATCAGGCTACACCTCCACCTGCAGCTGTATTGTTTAGCAACATCCTGACTGCGCTGTTCGTGAAACCCCATTATGTGGGCTCTTGTTGGGCTTCTGCTAATAAGTAGCGTGTGTGTGTGTGTATATGTGTTAGTGTGTGTTTGAGGGTGCTATGTATAGATGCAGTTGTGTAGTGTCATCTGTATACATATAGCTATACCACAGAGGTTAAAATGACATGTATATATCTTATTATTTTAAACCTAGAAAATATGAGTTGTGTAATGGTGAACACTCTTTGACTGTAATGTTGTACTCCTATATATGATACTCTATGATGTTTGCACATATAAGGAGAATGGTTTTAATTTTAGTGGCTATTTCTAATATTGTCTCTCATGTCCTTTTTTTTTCTCACCCTAGGAATCTTCATACTCATTTGCACTGAAATGCCTTATCAGCCTTTCCACTGTTATATTGCTTGGTCTTATAATAATGTACCATGCCCGGGAAATCCAGGTGAGTGCACTGCTGAAAAAGTAACCTTTGTTTATTCATTTACCTTTTGAGATCAGTGTGGCAGAAAATAAATATTATAAAACCTGATTTTAAAAAGTCTGTTGGGAATTCAATTTCTACTGGCAAAACGACGCTAAATACAAATCACTTTTTTTCTCTTTAACTGAAATTGAAGCAGACAGCTCAGTGTAACCTTAAAGCACCCACCCAAAGATAAACTTTTGAAGCTTAAAAAATGTTGAACTGTAAAAAGTGCTTGATTGTAACCACTTTACCCCCCCAACCCGTGTAATTTTGCTTCTAAGGAGCTGGACTTTCTTGTAATTTTTAGTGGTCTTGAGCAATAGTTCTCCAAGCTAGTTTTTTCAGCATTTTTCTTTGGACATTGGCTGGTTTTTGATCAATTTTCAGACCAGTCTTTGTACCTGACCTTTTTCAGATAAGTTTTTTTCTTTCTTTTGTAAGCCTGTCCCAAAGATACAGTTTGACAGTGTATTTTGGCACCAACTAGGTGATTCCCAGTGAGATGTTAACTTTCAACATGTTGTGCATACATTAAAAGTACCTGAAAACTATGACCTTAAGAAAAAAGAAAAAAGCCAAATCTGAACTGGTTAGATTTCCATCATTATGTATGTGGGAAATCAGGAGAGAGGTATAATGTGAGTGTCTACAGCTAACTGTAAAACAAGGTGGAGACTCTGTCATGGTTTGTACAATGTACAGTCAGGCTTTGAGTCACCAGTCCATCTGGAAGCATTTGATTGACAACAGCTAATTTTTCAGCATGACAGTGACCTCAAACACTGCCAGTGCTGTAAAAAATAAACCTGAATAGAAAAGCACACAGTTTAACACTATCAGTCATGGATTGGCCTCCCCTGAGCCCGGGCCTTAACATTATTGAAGCAGTGTGGGATCATTTTTACAGGGAACGGAACAAAAGGCAGAAACATCCAAAGATGGGCTTTGAATGTCTTTCAGCCTAGAGAACTATTCCTGGAGACTACTTCAAGAAATTAAAAGAAAGCTGCCTGAGAGAGTTTAGGCTGTGATGAAGAATAAAGGTGTTGATACCAAATATTGACTGAAGTGTACAAACTGTGTGCAGTATTTCCATGTACATTTGCACACATTTTAATAAATCGCTGCACCTATGTTTGTAGCAAAATGTAAAGTAATGAGTACTGTACATGTGGTGTATCATAACTGATAAGAGACAATACTTATTTCATACTGTGTATGAAATATCTTATATTAGTTAGTGACTGCAAAGAGTCATTGTGATTTTGTGATAAAGTTTTTCATTTAATTTTTATTATTACCTTTCACTGAGCCTGTTCTCAGTCTCAGGGTGTGAAATATTGCTGTTGTCAGAGCCTCTGATGGCTCAGATTCGTACAGGATGTCTCGTAGTGTTGGTCCTGTGATACGCATGTAGAAATCGTGAGAGGTCTCACTCCAAAATCATTCACAGAAAATGTAGACAAGTGGAAACAAAACTAAACAGGAGAGAAACAGGACCACAGCAATCTCCAGTTTAAGATTTAAACGACAGCCAGTTAAGTAAGTATTGTAAACATTTGATAAAATGACATTTTTATAGATGTTTATAGGTGGAATAGTCAGTATTGAGTGTTTGCAATCGTCTGTTTATTGATTCAAATCAATAAAATGATTAGTTTTTGCTCTATTAATGACTGTGATTATAAATTGTTACTAAATAGTTTACACAAACAAAACTGACATCATAGTAGATGATTAAATTAATACTGAACTAAATATTGACATTTCCTACAAACCCCGTTGTCTGTACAAAGGCAGTGTAGGAAAACTATGTCACTGTAAACTCTGATGCATCATAAATGCTATCCTGAGTGCGACAATTAGTATTTTATACTGCTAAGAGGATGGTGGAGAAAAAAGGGCAACAGGTAACAATGGGAGATGGACTACTTTGTCTTTCTAAAGAAAGAAAATGACCCAAAACAGTAAGGACCTGGCCAGAAGCAAAGAAGAGTAACCTACATGTGCAGCATATTCACAGGAACCTCTGCAGCAGTATTAGGCTGAATGTTTTGTTGCCATAGAGGAAAAATCTATCTTAAATTAAATCTGTTAACCCTTTAAACCTCAAACCACAAAACAATTGACAATTTTTCTTGAAAATGTTGTGTTTATTGAACCTTCTCACAATTTTTGTAAAAATTATGCTTAAAGGTTTATTGCACAATTTAGGTTTTCCAGGAAAAAAAATCACTCTTAAATGACTCTTAAGTTGTTGTCCAGAAACACTGTATTATTTATTTGCAAACAGTAGTCTTGATGAATCTATATCAGTTTTTTTCTGTTTTATTGTATTTGAGTTTCTGTAAAGTTTTCCTGGGATAACTAGAACTACTGCCATACATCTCATGCTCCGTATATTTATTGCCCTTAGCTTATTTGAGTTTTAGAGGTGTGTTGTTTATAAATCGAAACATAAGACACCTATGCTACTCCTGTCTGCTAGCTTGATTTACAAAGATCAGCCAAATAAAAAAAAAGAAGAAAGAAAGAAGAATAACAATGATGATCTTCTGCTTGAGAAATGTTGGATTTCTCACAGACAAGGCCAGGACACCACAAAACCTGCTCAGGACAAGCCCAGAGGAACTCACCATTGCCATCTCCCACCATCCCAGTATCCTGACATTTTTGATCTACACAAGTTTTGGCAGGTGTTTTTAAAGCTGATATTTGTAGATCAAGTATTGGCCATCATGAGCAGCATCCATGTCTTATGGATCATTTATAAACACACCAATACTATGAGGCCTCATTCAAAGCTCCATGTGGTTGAAAATGTATTAAAGATGTGTAGAAGGAAAAGAAGTTGAGCGTGGAAGGAAATTCTAAGTTTATCCAAACTGACCTCAGTCTGTCTTTTCCTTCAGCTGTTTATGGTCGACAATGGTGCGGATGATTGGAGGATAGCCATGACGTATGAGCGAATCTTCTTCATCGTGCTGGAACTACTGGTGTGTGCCATTCACCCCATCCCGGGCCAGTATGTCTTCACATGGACAGCGCGGCTGGCTTTTACCTACACGCCGTCGGTGGCCGACGCGGATGTGGACATCATCCTCTCCATCCCCATGTTCCTGAGACTCTACCTGATTGGCAGAGTCATGTTACTCCACAGCAAGCTGTTCACGGACGCTTCGTCCCGCAGCATTGGCGCCCTCAACAAGATTAACTTCAACACACGCTTTGTCATGAAGACCCTCATGACCATCTGTCCAGGAACTGTTCTGCTGGTGTTCAGTATATCCTCCTGGATCATTGCTGCATGGACTGTGCGTGTCTGTGAGAGGTAAATACAGGGCTGTGAATAATGGATGTTGTTGCTGGGCACAAACCAAAATGGCTGATGCACAATTGCACTTTGTGGATTATTAGACGTCTTCTCTTCCTTCACTTATCGCTTTTGTTCCCACGCGTTTCCGTGCTTTCTGTCCTTTCCCGGAAATATGTGGAATCATCAGAATAGGTTACATATCGATGCCGTACACGTGTGCAGGAAGGCATACGCTAATACGCCCACATACTACACCACTGCCCGGCTATTTAAAAACACCCTTGCACACGTTTCATTAGCTCAGCACTTGCTCCACGACTTCCCACTCCTTGTTTTTATTGCTATTTTAGATGGCTTGTCCATAATTCATGAGTGTTTAATTGTTTGTTTGCTGAATGGTTTGTTTTGATAATGCAGAGCAGCCCCCAGGATCCCCTAACCCGTTTTTCTCACCAAAACTGCGCAACGGGCTTCGTCTCAAGGGGGCACCAATGATTCTCGCTGAAAATGAAAGAGGCAGGGAGAAATGAGAGGCTCTCTTTTTCTTTCTCGTTTGTGCATTTGCATAGGGAAATGAGACATTAATGCCAGCTTTGATGTTTTTAAATTCACTTTTGCATAGATGGTGTGGAAGGGGGACTCGCGTTGCATGGGTGGAGAGTGGGAAAATCTATAGCAGCAGTTCTTGTCAAACCCAATATTTTAGTCTACACGTGCTACACCAAAAAGGCTAAACATCCCGTCAGAGGAAGGTTTTTCTTTTATTGCTGCAGCTCATCTTGCCTGCTTTTATTAAGTACCTCCCCTCTCCCTCCTGTACCCCTGCCCCCTAACTACCCACATGTTAACCTGTCACTAACCAACCCCCTTTACATGCCCTTACCTTGGGATCTTCGTGGCTGGTGGATTTAAAACTCAAAAACTTTCACACCAGCTCCTCTGGAGCACAGAGGGAGGCCAGTGAGGTATCACAGGCATGAGATAACCTTAACCCAATGATAAATAGACTGCTTCCTATATAGCGCTTTTCTACTCTACCTGAGCACTTAAAGCGCTTCATGCATTGGTTGAAAAAACACAACATTAAATTTGCACATGATGACGTCTCCATAAAGTTAAGTTGCACAAAGTCTCTCTATTATAATTGGCTATATGTCACATTTTTTGCCATCATTCAGTCTTTAGCACCTCATAAAAGGAAGGAGTCATTTCATTCAAGTCAAAGGCTGGTAGAGGGAAAAACAAACTACATGGGTTTAGTTTGGATTTCTGAACTTAAATGAATAAGGAGGTGAGAGGCACAGAATCTCTAGAGTGTGGTTTGGTTTAAAAATGCACAAACACATGAGCAGGGCATGCTATTAATCATTTACCTCAGAATAATGTGTCCAGATGGGTAGATTTGTGTCTGTATGTCTACGTCTGTTACTATGGATGGGTGCACTTTAGCATGCACATGAAGGTTGTGTGTGTGTGTGTGTGTGTGTGTGTGCATGCGTGTGCGTGTGTTTGTATAATGTTTTGTTGTACTTTCTATTTCCCCACTATGCTGCTCCATAGGGATACCATGTGAGTCCTCGTTCTCTAGCCGTGGAAAACCCAACTTATCATTTTTTTTTACCGAGCTGGCGCCACTGCTGCCCTGAGTGGGGTTGGAGGGTGGTGGGGAGCGGGGTGGTGGTAGCGGGGAGAAGGGGCAGCTCCTCTGAAACAAAATTGACCGATGATCCTTTCCAAACCCAGTAGGTCAAACGAAGAATTAGGAAGGGCTCTCTAGTTGGCATGAAAGTGGCACAATTCCTAAGAGATTTTAGTGGCTGTAGGAGGACAGCAGAGACCTACAGTGTGAGCAGCACTTTGAAGCAAGCGTCTCTTTGCTAACTGTTGTGCATTAGGCCGGTAGGAGCTGGAGGAGGAAGTTTGTATAAAAATGGAGCAACTCCTTCAAGTCACCTTCACCAGTCTGCCAGAGGGCAATTTGTCTTATCTCATTTTTTCTCTCTCTCTCTCCTTATGCAATTGTTATAGATCCATACTGCAAAAAGATGTCTTTTTAGCAGCAACTCCAAAGATTTTCGAGGACCAAAGGCCTTTCTGTTCTTTGTGTTCACACATTACCATCTCATTATGTGTCTCCCCTCACAAAACTAATTGAACAGTGTTATAGTTTTCCACAGACTTTTGTTGCTTCTACCCAAAAGATTGTTCTGCAGAGATGAAGACACTTTGTCCTCTGTTATCAAAATAAGGCCCGAGTGTGCAAGAAGAGAACGAATGTCAAGTCATTTCGTGTATTTAGCTGAGGGCACTTTTGTCTGGGCTGCGTGTTACTTTTAGCACAGCAAGATTCTGAATGAGAGATACGCGAGTGGCGTAACGCAGTTAGAGGGTAAATGAGAGCATTGCTTTCCATTGCTACATGTGTTAACGGAGACATCTTTTAAAAACAAGAGTTTGGTCTCTGCCGAATGCGGCGTCTCTAGTTTTTGTTTGCCCACGTGAGCCGAATGTCATTCCCCCTTCCTCCTTTCTTTTAGTAAACATTGAAACAGCATGCGAGTTTTCATGTTTACTTATCAATCCCATCATTTCAAGTGAAACCAAAGTTGAAAAAAAAAAAGAGGCGCTTGTTTCCCAAAGTGCTGTATGTGACTTGTATCTGTTAAATGCGCCGTAACACTGTCACATTGACCACGCTGCGAAGTAAATCAAAGGGCAGTACGGTGTGAGATTGGACGAACACGGAGTCTACCTGGAAAATGCCTAGATGGGGGGAATGAAAGACACACAACCAGAGGGACTGAGAGAGGGTGGAGATGGGAGAAATGCTAATGTTACAGTAGATGGATTTAACACTGGCCCCCTTTCCCATCTTTCTTGTTACAGCCCATCCTCAGAGCTAACCTACCTCAACTAAGCTCCTTAACTAAGCTCTTTTGGCTTCTCCCTCACTACCAAAGACACCTCCCTCCCTCTCTCTCTTACTGCTGACTGATCCTTTGCAGATCTCCTACTGTACCCATCTAACGTGGCATGCTTTGCAGTTTCTCCTCATCTCTCCCCACTACTGATTCCTTGTCCCTTTGCCTTTCCTTATCCATAACAAGCAGGCCTAATCCAGCCCGAACTCAGTTACACACTTGCATGCATGCCTTGCCTGCCTCCCTGGTTTCTCACTCCTTTTTCTCTTTAGCTGTTATCTAATTCTCTTCCACTCCTGTTCTAACTTTGTTATCTGAAACAAAACGCTCTATTTCGGGGCAATGCGAGGCTGCTATTTCTCACCTCGCATACTCCATTGAGGGCCTGTAGGCTACGTAAAAGGCAAGAAAGTTTAGCTGACTTTCCCTTAGAGCACAGCACCAAATTATCAGGCTCAAGATTCAAACAGCGCCAGCCAAGACAGGTTGTCCGAATGTTTAACTGGAGAAATGCATACCAGAGCAACTTGAACTTTCTCACACCAACCACATGTTTACATGAAATATTCAAGCAGGCTTTGTAACTTTACAGTTTCCAGGCCGTGAGCTCAACCAAACATATACAAAACCGAAATGTTGCCGTTCCTTTGAGTTTCTTACAGTAGGTTTACATTTATAGTCTGATGCAGCAATGTGGGCAATGTAAGGGAGCCTCTTTGATTCGATGTGGCATGTACTACTATATTCACCAGGGACAGTTAGATTCTTCTTTGTTTCACTTGATGTGACAGCGTGCTTGCTCTGCAGGCCTAGTATTGATTGTAGCCTATCAGCGCATGTAAGCCCACAAGGTAAATTTGCATAATATGTGATAAGCACTGGGACAGGTAAAAGACTGACATGCAGTAACATAAAATTAAGTTAGTTCTCTGTTTTTCATCAGCCACATCAGTTACTGTCTCTCTCTGCAGTCTTGATGCGATCATATGCATTCAGAAATGATTTTCCGAAAGACAAAGCAGCGGTGGATTTGCTTCTACCAGTTTACACGTGGAGTTGTTATCCTGTCTAGGAGATCCTCCTGCTTGTTTCAGTCTACTCTTAGAAAGGGAAACGTCTGATTTGGGGGACTGTCAGCTCCACTGACTCCTCCTATTAATGCCTCACTGGAAGAACAGACTCACTGCTGAGGCTTCTGTTCTGTGGTTCTCACGTGTGGGAAAACAAGTAGTTTAATAAGCAAAACTGAAAGGTTTCTTTACAGCTGCAAAAAAAAGGGACAAAAATAAAATAATGACCTGATGATTAGGATTTGAAAACTTGAAAACTTCACAATCATTTGGTAGGTCTATTTTTTTGTGTGCACATAAAAGAGTTAAAAGTGTAATGTTAAAGACAGTCTCTGTGTTGTGTGCAGAAGTAAACCACACATTGTGGAAGGCTGAGTGTACTGAGAAGATTTGAAACATGAAAGAAAATGTTTAGATGTACTGAGTTGGCAGTGGAGGTGGAGTGGTAGTGTTTCGGTGTTTCTGTGTGTCCCATGATGGTTTAATACCCAGAGTGTGCAGCAGAGGATGAACGAGTTACTTCGTGGAAAAAAATTTTAACATTTACATGGAAACTGTTTTGAAGTGCTTCTTAGCTTGAGCAAAACAACTATTGTTGGAGTTCAGAATGTAAAGTGTGTTACTGGGCTTAGAAGCTTACTGAGGAGCTTTTCCAGAGGTGTCTCTATCCTAATTCAGCGAAACATCTGTGATGGATTACTGTCAATCTGATAACCTCTGATGTAAGCACACACTCCAGCTCTGAAACATTAAGATTAAGGGTGTCACGAATGGAGTTTCTTGTCTGTAGATTAGGGAGGACAGTCCCAGCATAGCACAGAGAGACCTGACTTCATGAAAGGAAAGACTGACTGTAGTTCTCAGGTTAATTACGAAAGTTTGCAAGGGCGCACACACAACACTGTAAAGGGCTTAGGCCAGCTGACATTATTTACTTCATTATTCATAATTGAGTGACTTGCAGAAAATCTCTGCGGTTACAGCATACTGTTTGAAAGTTTTCTCATTGACCCTGTAAAAATAA